CTTCTCATTTCTGCAGCAATTTGGAAGACTCTCCCGGTGTCCTACATTGTACGAACATTCCATGTACCTAAATAAATGGTCGCTCTGGTTGTCAGAAGGGGCATCGGCCTCGTAACTTCCGAAGGAATTCGGCTTTCATCATGAGGCGTCATAGTTCTTCTAAATGAAGACCTTCTGACTCCCGGGGCAGAGTTTAAAAGGTTTGAATAATTTTTTCTGGTTAGCGTTTTTTTAGCGAGTTAGTTTTCTACGGGATGGGGACGCTAACCCCATGCCCAACCCTCCTCCTTTATCCGGTCTTGGGACCGGCAGTAGCCCGCGGGGGACTTCAGGCGGAGTTTGTACGATATATATTTGCATTTATCTCCGGCCACCAACACATGACATTTGCCGAGGACTCCATTTTCTCAACACCTAAATTTCCACTATCAAGATCTTCAAAGACAGATTTACTCCATGAAGGAGGAATAGCAACACGATCATTTAAACACAAAATATCATCAGGAGTAGTTAATAACTCATCCCGCTTTGAAAAATAGACAGGAAGTCTACGTTTCAGATTAGCATTCCAAACTTTCAGTACAGCATTGAGAGTATTTCGTGCCTGTAGGCAACCCTCGTGCTAGTGATAGAAGAAACCAGGTTAGTAGTGAGTAGGTATTTATTTAGATCATCGCGCAATCACACTAGAGCGTGGGATTGCCTGTACAGACAAACAAAGCTTTTCAACATTCAACATGAGATAACAGGAAATATAGTGCCTATACAAAATAAGGAAGTGAGTGAATACTTGAACTCCATTGTTTTGGTATATGCTTAGTTGTTTGAGGACAACTCTTAACCAATCAACCCAAGCTGTTACAAATACATCCAAAGTATCGGGGAGTTTCTCTAATGAGATCTGGATGTCTCACCGGTAAAGGTTGAACTAACAAACAATCTGAAGTAATAACATGTCTATCTTGTAATGGTTGTCGAGAAGTGTAGTCAACGTGATGAATTTGTTTGGCACTCCTTTGCTGAACCGTATAGTAATAGGCACTCAAAGCAACACTCCATCGGTGAACCGTAGCAGCTGAGGAAGACGCTAGGGATTTTTCGGGATGGTAAATTAACTTTAAAGCATCATGATCATTAACGATAGTGAATTTTTTCCGAATAAATATTTATAAAGTCTTTTAACAGCCCAAAATAAAACTAATGCTTCTCGCTGAGTTTTTGAATAATCCTGATCATCAACATTAAGTTTGTGTGAAACACATGTTACTGTTTTACCTTTCTGCTCCAAAACCGCATCCAAACCTACAGTTGATGCATCAGTAATTAGTATGGAACGTATACTAGGGGAGTAAGCTCGTAGAACAACATCATTTCGAAGAAACTTTAGTAGGCTTCGTAAGCATGAATCTTGTTGCTTACCACATTTGAATGAATTAGATGTCAGTATATTGAATAGACAATCAGCGTGGTAGGAAAAATCGAAATAAAACAGGAATAGTGCTGAAGAGCACCCACTGGTGAACATTGTTCTGTAAGATTTCCCGGAGATAGCGAACTTGTCAATGGAATTAGTCGCTTCATATCTGGATCAAAACGATTATTGTTAACTAGGTGCAGATCACTGACGTAATTGATGTATGTCGAACTATTGAGGGACTACTCGAGTTAGACGGGAATGGTATAACAGACCAGCTAACTTAGAAGTCACACCTCACGGTCAGCACCAAACATGGATTACCCTTTCATCGTATTAAGGTGCAAACGTCGCTTTGAGTACCGTATAACGCAAAGGACGTTATTACAGAAATAAAGAAGTAAAAGTAGGTACAAGAAAGAGATTGCAACTACCACCGCACGAGTCAATCCACGGTGTGCGAGTAATTGATGCCCTTGAATTTAAAGAGGATCAATGAACCTATAGTGGCATTGGACCATAACCACACAATCCTCAAAGCTGTGAACACGAGACTACTCAGAAAATAGATATTCAATATTTAACACGGAGAAATACCTAACGAAGAAGAAGGCATGAACAAGGAATTGAATGAATAGAAGTTGATCGGATGGCATGGCTAGGCCATGCAGGCGTGGTCCCTCTGAATGTTACCTTATATCTTCTATTCATATCAAATATATTGTTCTTTCTCCAGCCTAACCTTGTTCTACATCATGTATTGGTAATTGATACGATACAGTGAGTTGGTGTAGTCGATGGTGTGACTTCCATGTAAGATCTTATAGATTAGGCAGTTATATCATGACAAATCTACAAATTTAGGATTAGGTCTATTATTAGAGCAGTACTAATATCATAGTAGACCATAATTCTACAAACCGTTCGACATTTTGTGACTCGATCGTCGGATGATTTGTTCAGAACCCAGTGGCATTTCACTGACCCTACATAGATATCTAAGACATTCAAACTAGATACACAATCCCAACACTTACTAGGACTCACTTTAATATTCTTCTCAATTAAACGACCCAGTAATGTAAAAAGTCTCCCATCATGATCTGCTTTATTAAAAACCGTAACGACCAAACTGCCAATACTCGGTTAGGATATAGAAATAACGAACCAATATTTATTACACAAGATCAGACTGCCTTCTTCTGTATAGCGTAAAAAGCGTTTTTGAGTTACGCGTATTAAATCATATCAAAACAGAGACTGTTTTCAGTTTGAATGGTTCTAATTTAAGGAGAATAAATCGTATCAAAAACAAACAATACTTCAAACGTCACACCCTGTTTTACAGTCAAGGGTTTCTCTAACAAAGTGGGGTACCAAACAACAACAAAAATAGTTAATAAACAAGAGTTCGCTACCTGAGGATCTGTAGTGGCATTGGACAATAGCCACACAATCCACAAAGCTGTGAACCCGAGACTACTCAGAAAATAGATATTCAATATTTAACGCGGAGAAATACCTAACGATGGAGAAGGCACGAACAATGAATTGAATGGACTGGAGTTGGTCGAGTGGCATGGCTAGGCCATGCAGGCGTGGTCCCTCTGAATGTTACCTTATATCTTCTATTCATATCAAATATATTGTTCTTTCTCCAGCCTAACCTTGTTCTACATCATGTATTGGTAATTGATACGATACAGTGAGTTGGTGTAGTCGATGGTGTGACTTCCATGTAAGATCTTATGGATTAGACAGTTATATCATGATAAATCTACAAATTTAGGATTACGTCTATTATTAGAGCAGTACTAATATCATAGTAGACCATAGTTCTACAGATCAACAAAAATATACCCAACAAGATGGAGTCAGTTGTCTATCTGCAAAGATTCTGGTGACCTTTCCAAGCAGAAAAAGTTTGGCAGTCATCCACTGAATCAAGCCGTGACACTTAATGGAGCCAAACATAGCCTTACCATCAATGGTCCGGCAACATGAAACAGTAAATTATGTATTAAAAGATATGTCTTCAGCCAGGGCCACATGGCATAAGCCCTGAAAAGGAAGACCGAAGGACATAAAGTCCAGTTAAAAGAGGCCTGAATAAAGGTTAAACTATAAGACAGGGGAAAAGAACAAATAAACGACAATACTGTCTTATGAAATGCTGTGGAGGGAGTTTCAGCGTTTTCGTTCCGTTACACATATGTTAACACTGTTTTCACTAGATTCCTCTGAAGCGCATTTTGACTTAAAGACCCCTAATATTAAACATTCATCATCTGGGGACTAAGCAATAAATCAGTTCAGATATACTTCAGTCATCTTAGGATTTAGGTTGTCATGATTGTCATTGATTTCTAACAGTAAACATTTACAGTATGAAATGGTTCAACACAGTACTCTAGAATTCCTTGAAGAAAACTCGTTTTTTTCGCAAAGGCCTCAAATAACCATCCCCGTATCCAACATTAGATGGCAATGATAGAAGGCTAAATATTCTATTTTGATCTTCGTGTTTTGCATTAATATGAAAGTCAAAGTAAGCCTTCAGCGTACCAAAAAGTGTTGATATTATGTGTTCTTGTAAAGGAATGCAGTACTTTACTACTCGAGGCCAAAAGCAAAATTTCAAATATACAAAAGAATTTGTTCTAGATTTTTCGGCTTTCTGTGAATCCACCCTCAAACTATATTGGTTCGCTAACTTTTGTTTATGTTTTTTCAGCCCAAAGTCCGATTCCGGTCTGACCGTACGAAGATGCTATGGACATAAATCTTCCATCTAACCCAGTATTTTACCTAGGTTAACCCCGTTTGTGTGGTGGCACTAATAAGAAACCAAATAAGGTTTGCGTTGGACGAATTTATTCCATTGTGATAATTAGGAGTATTTGAATTATAGTATGAACTAAGAATCCCAGAAATAACGTAATCGGATCAAGAAGTACTAGATAAACACGAACGAATATACTGTATTTGGAATTCGAACTCAAGCATTCAACAAGTACAAAGGATTCATCAGTTCATTCGAACACCACATCCAGGCCTTCGCTTATCCGGACGGATATTTGGAATAAGAAGCGGGAAGGTGAAGTGGGCAGAGATGGCGAGATAGCTAACTTTATTTGATCGAGTGACTCGATATTTATAATCAGATAAAATAGGGTCACGAATAATGAATCAGGTGAGCAATTAACACACGCACATGTAAAAACAGCGAGGGTTAATAAGTGAATAATTAACGAGGTCGAAAAGCGACACTAAAGGAATGAATAAATCGGTCAGTCCGGAAGCTAGGATAACCCATGTGGGTTTGACATGGTACTTGACACACGTTCCTCCTCGTCTTTATACAACTAGACCCCTTTCTGAATATGTCGACGATCCGTTTATGCCATACACACCGGCTTATTAGGTAGACACTTCCCATACCCAGTCGAGGAACATTTTAAATACACCTTGCTAAAATCGACTTTCGGGCTCCAGATTTCTCCCGCTGTTTCATTTTCAGGTTTTTTGAGCAATCGTTGCAAGAACTATGCCTTTCCACACCAAGCAGTTGTCTTCTACAGTTTGGGTACACATTGCGCAGGAAATTCAGTCAAATACTTCTGCCCACCAAATATTGAGAATTGAACGTATTTTTTATTTATGGTAGTTAGTTCGTTACTAGCATTTTCGGCGCCCTTGAATTCATCGAGGTTATCACGCGTTTGTAACCATGACCCAAGGTTTTGTTAGTAATGTTCCTAGTGGATCTAGCGGTAAAGCCAAGGAAGGTCAGTATGAAGATAAAGGAAAACCTGCTGCCATCAGGTCAAGCAACATAGTTGCTGCTAAAGGTATATCTTAATTACGTTTTAAGTATTTTCAGCTGTCGCCGATGCAATTCGTACTAGCCTAGGACCCAAAGGAATGGATAAAATGGTAAGAAATCTTAATATTTTGATTTTCGTGAAGATACAAGAGGCGAAAGGTGATGTCACGATTACTAATGATGGAGCCACAATATTGAAACAAATGAAGCTTCTTCACCCTGCAGCCAAAATGGTAATTAAGTGTCAGAAATGTGATTTGTTAGTTGGTAGAATTATCGAAAGCTCAAGATATCGAGGCAGGTGATGGTACCACTTCCGTAGTTGTTCTAGCAGGAAGTCTTCTTGATGCTTGCTCAAAACTGCTAGATAAAGGTATCCATCCAACCTCCATCTCAGATGCTTTCCAAAAAGCTGCATTAAAGGCTTGTGATATCCTGGAGAGTATGTCTATCCCTGTAGATCTGGGAAACCACGAAGAACTTATCAAAGTGGCTACAACCTCACTTAATTCCAAAATCGTCTCACAACATTCGGATTGCTTGGCACCCATAGCCGTAAAATCTGTCTTGGATGTTATAGACCCAGCCTATCCTAACTCCGTCTCTCTAGATGATATTCGTGTCGTGAAAAAACTTGGGTAAGCTGTATTTTTACAAACGTTTAAACGCGGAGGTGTATCTGACTTAGGTGGAAATGTATATACAGCCACAAGAATATAGCACATGAGTTTAATATACCTGACTATTTGACTGGGAATCCTGTTCTGCTGAACAGTCGCACTTTTGTTTCTTACGTATTCTATAATGAACAGCTGCCGATCATCACGCTCATATTTAGAGTTGCTTACACTAAAATAATGGATTTGTAGTACAACTGGTAATTGTCTCAACATTCCCGATAACTCAAAGTCCAGCATGTGTATAAACTCGTACTTGACATTTCTTAGGAATGGCATATAAACAGCTGCACGGTAGGATTTAGTTCAGATGCTTTATGGTTTTATTGTTCACACCTATATAAGTTAAAAGTTGGCTTAGCAAACCGATTAAGTCTGTGCTCTTGTATTTTGCCTAGTGCTGTACTGTGTAAAATGTGATTCTGGCCAATAAGACTTCGTTATCGCTCATTGTAACAATAAATCGATGTTTTCTACTGTTCGGTCACAGATCCCACCTACTCCGATCTTGGTACGTGGTTGCACTGAAATCCACATATACTAAAATCACCCGATTGTTCCGTCACGTTATCTTAAAACTACACGGCGCCTATCCTCGTGGCTCCTCTATCAAGATTTTGCTGTCTGAAGAGTTATAATATGATAGCTTTTATGTCCAGTTATACTGACTAGTATTTTATGGTTAGCTACAAGAGTATTGATTAATTTCATCACAAATTTCGTTTTAAATATTTTACTCTCAATAATAGAGGCACAGTCGAAGACACCAAGTTAGTCGACGGTCTTATACTCACCCAACGTGCTGAATCTGCTTGTGGCGTTAAAAGAGTAGAGAAAGCGAAAATAGCTCTTATTCAGTTTTGTATCTCTCCTCCAAAAACAGATGTAAGTTGTCCTAATATGCAAAATATCCCTGGTCTCAGATGGAAAATAATGTCGTCATCACAGATTATACTCAGATGGATAGAATCATGAAGGAAGAAAGACAATACATTCTCAACATCATCAAAGCTGTTAAAAAGGCTGGGTGTAATGTCTTGTTGATTCAGAAAAGCATTTTGCGAGATGCTGTAAATGAATTGGCTCTCCATTACTTTAATAAAATGAAAATTATGGTTGTCAAGGATATCGAGCGAACAGAAGTAGAATTTATATGCAAGGTGAGCTGGTTGTTTCATATTAAATTATGGTTCATTAGTTCTTTATTGCTTCTTTAAGTTATATGCAAAGAGATTGGTCAGTCCACTCGTGTTCAGAATCCACATGGTTCCCTTTAACCTGTTTTTCTCATTTATTCTATTTATAACCAAGTTAACTAACAATCTAAGGTTTTAAAATAGAAAATTATTCCGTTCCCAATAAATTATTGTAAGATGTGTTTGTCTAAGCTGTATTTAGAGTAATAAAACTATTTAACAGTCCACAACGGTCATTAACATTTATAGAAGTATCTCAAGGCGAGTTTTTATGCAACATTTTTTCATGCCTTTCTGATAGACACTGCATTGCATACCAATAGCAAGTCCAGACCATTTCAACCCAGAATATATGGGATCTGCCAATTTGGTTGAAGAATCAGAGGCAACCGCTCATTGCGTTCACATCACAGGTATTGAGAACAGGGGAAGGACAATATCAATCTTGGTCCGGGGTTCCAATAAACTTATGTTGGACGAAGCTGAACGTTCATTGCATGATGCACTTTGTGTTATTCGATGTTTAGTAAAAAAGAGGTACGTTAATAACTGGCTTTTGTCTTGTCAAAGTCATTTCTATGAGATCAAATTGTATATCATGAAATCCACAATTTATGCTCTGTATAATAGTCTGAGTTAATCTTGAATCCATAATTCCTTGATATAATTCGTAGTTTTTTGAGATTCATTTCAATGGTACTATTGGAAATAATTATTTCTCGTAACAAAAAATCTATTCTAAATTCGAAACTTTATGATCGCAATTGTTTGCAATTCTAACATTTCCATCCATATTTCTAGAGCTATGATCTCAGGTGGTGGTGCACCAGAAATCGAAATTGCCCAGAAGTTAGCTGCATTCGCTAACACTACACCTGGTCTTGATCAATATTGTTTCCGTGCCTTCGCTGATGCATTCGAAGTTATTCCGTACACATTAGCAGAAAATGCTGGTTTGAGTCCTGTACAAACTGTCACTGAACTACGAGCTTTACATGCTAAAGGGGAGAAAAATGCTGGGATCAATGTTCGAACGGTAATTGGCTTTGTTTTTGCTTAATTGCCGACTTGGATCTTTAGTTGAAATACTTTCTGTCGTACAAATTACGGGCAAGAAATCTCGTTAAAATTGTCTAGATGTTGTAAACATCGAATTCCAACCTGTAAATGTTAATTTAATAAACTTAATACAACTTGGTATCCAAATGCAAATTCATGTACTCAAGGTTGAGCCGTTTTTACTTAATACTACTCTAGTGTTCCTAACTGAAGTAGACGAAATGTGGTCTAAACCTACAAACCAATGATCGGACAACAAGTATTCCAACCGTTATGCCACCAATTGTAAAGTCAGTATGTATTTCTACTTAGTCGTATTTTGTAGTGAAATCCTGTTCAACTTAACAGCATATTCACGGACTGTTGTCGCTATAGAAAGATCATCTAGTCCTGGATAACACTATTTTCCTTAAAATGTACGTACAACACAACTGCAACCCACCCTTCAATAAATATATTTGTTGCCATATAAAAATGATCAGAATTCTAAAGTAGCACAATATTCACTACTTACTGTGCCTAGATGTAAATTTCCCATATTCCAGATTAGCTGCTACTTTTGAATGTCTTCGATTTAGATATTCAGTTAAAGTCCGTAAGAGTGTGAATCAAAACATTTCACCTTGATTGACTCAAGGCATTAATGATCTAAATGCATTTCAAGAAAATAACAATTTCTATTATTGATGTTCAACAGCTGAGCTATCAGTTAGTCACAAATGTCCATCATCCTAAGTTGTGACACAATGTTTACAATGTATAGATCGATATATTATCTAGATTACCATATGAACGTAATTTAAATAACCTAAAAATCAAATTTAAAAACCTACTCTAAAAGTATGCTATAGGATAAAATATTTCATTGTGGTTATTTCCAATAGTAGGTGTCTGCGTTACACACCTTGCTGACTAATGCTCATTTCATATCATTCTTATGAATTTCGTGGAAATTCTTTTCCTTACCAATGTCCACCACTTCTTTATTATTTAGTTTCTCATTTGACTTAGCATTCTTATTAGTAATAGTGGTCCAACACCTTTCATGATCCTTATTTAACGTCACTATTGTGTTTTTAGGGCGCTGTCGTGGATATTTTGGCACAAAACGTGATTCAACCAATGCTGGTCAGTTACAGCGCTGTTACTTTAGCTACAGAGACTGTACGTAGCATCCTCAAGATAGACGATGTGGTAAGTTATTTATTCCATTGATATCTTTTAAATTTTTATTAACTAGCTCTTTATAAAGTAATCTTTGATCTAGTTCTGTTAGAACAATTCACACAGCCATATTATGTATACATATTATAATGTAATTACTTATCCCGACCGTTGTTGCTACCTTGACGTGGTGGTCGGGCTTGCCTATCGTGATGAAGTAACCGAGCTATACTGGCTGGAACAACCGTTCCTCAAGGTCCTACCATGTCAGACAGGTCGGTTGAAGAGCGGTAAGACTAAAAGCAACAAACCCAAGGTCCGAAGGCGAAGTCGTACTGCTGACTGTACAGAGGTGTGACAGCAGTAAGGTGTTTCCTTCAGACAACCAGCATGACAGCGATGCTGCCTTCCCACAAGGAGGGGTGGGGTTAGAAAAGGTCGACCCTAAAAATGCACACCTCGCCTTATCCCACGGATATCCGTCTCCGGCGGTAAGGTCTCAATAAGTACGGAGCTAACACAAAAATTACCCATAACAAGGTCGTGTGTGACCGACCTCAAGCAGTTGTCCCTTGGGCACTGCGGTCACGCTCTCAGGTCACTAAGACCACCTCTAATCCAATTTCCTTTTCAGGTACCTCCAGAACAACCCTTCCACGGTGTGGGCAGCCGGGAAGTGATAACCGCCCTCACACTTCTAACAGCACTCAAGACCACTGTATTCACTCTCTGTCTTCTCTTAAACTAAGAGATTAAGATCACTTCACATCTTTCTTTCTACGAACTAATTCTTTCTTCCTATACTATATCCTTATTGCAATCTTTCTCCTATATATTACCACCTTTGACCTAACCACTCCTATGAATCCAGTGTTCATCTTGCTGTGCTAATGAGGTATGGCAACCTGGGCCGATGCATACATGTGCCTGGTCCTACGTTGTAGCTGACTGACTGACTGACTGTAATTACTTACTAAATATCATATTCCTTGTATTTAGCTTGAGGAAGTCCTTTCACTCTGGGTATTCGTTGTCAGTTCTATGTGATAGTTGCGTTTGTGTATCATGATGATCCATTCGAGTTATACTGACCGCAACACTTATTTCTTTAGGTCCCACTGCTCTTGAAAGATCTGTTGTAGAACTCTAAGACTATAAAACTAAGAAAAGAGGAAGTTGGAACAGGTCCCTCCTAAAGGTACTGCACCTCAACTTTCCTCATTTATTTCAGTCCCTAATATTTAATTCCTTAGAAGTATGGAGTTAACACATCTAGAACTCCACAAAACGACCATGTCTGACTGCTCTTAAACAATTGTCTAATGCGTTCTACAGTCACGATCCCAGTTCTCCAAAACCACCCTTAACCCAGTTTCCTTAACTCCCTCAAGAAAAAGTATGCTTCCGCGGTGTGCGAAACGGAAGAGGTGACAACCGTCCTTACATATACAACAATTGTGGTTTATCAGTTTAGGGGTTGTGGAGATTGTTAAGTTTTTGATTGAGATCACTAACCGATTGATGTTAGACCACCATTAAAAACCTGGAAGCATTAGACGGCCGTTTCGTCCTATTAAGGGACTCCTCGACAGTGCACACCCACGATCCCGCTCGCGGGATTCGAATCTAGGGCCTTCAGTTTCGCGCGCGAACGCTTAACGTACTGGACCACTGAGCCGGCATCCAACGGTGTTAATGTCTAACCTCAACCAATCCACGTAATTGCGCGACCATCTTCTATTGTACTGAGGTAGACACCTGTTTCTACCCGACACGGATTAGCTCCACTGGTCACGGCTTCTCACCAGAACTCCGAGAGTTTTCTCACGGAGCTAGTCACTAGTGAAACTGAAGGCCCTGGGTTCGGATCCTGCGAGCGGGATCGTGGATGCGCACTGCTGAGGAGTCCCATAACAGGACGAAACGGCCGTCCAGTGCTTCCAGGTTTTCAATAGTGGTCTAACATTAATCGGTTCATGATCTCAATCAAAAAATTGTGGTTTAACTATCTTTCTGGCCAGTCAGTCAGTCATGTGCAACTTAAAACCTGGTATATAAGTGCATAGGTTCAAGTTGCCATGCCAGTTAGCTTTTGATTCGGGGAATTAAGTGATAATTCTTATCATGTAATGTCTTTAACTTATCTTGTATACAATACATGATACATTTGAGATAAATATCATTTTTAAAAGTTATTGTTGAGTTTTCACTGAGAAGTGCAGCTTTTCTATGATAAAAAACATTCTTATTAATGAAGCCTCATAATTCCACCTTTTTTACAGATCAATGCAATCAGGAATTAAGCAATTTTGTATGGCTCCGATACTAAATATGTGGAACTTGTTATTGTTTTCATGAAATATAATGTTTTATCGAATTCAATAGTTATCTTCATATTCAGTCCAAAACTTCAAAGACTCCAAACCTTCATGTGTTACGTGTCTTAACATATTTCTAGTGAAGTTGACTAGATATGCAGTATTGTAATTATACAGGTGTTTAGTTTCAACTTTAAAAGTCCTTTTTCCATCTCAATTTAATAGCCACATAATCACGATTATAAAAATGTAATCTCAAATCTAATCTACAAATCATCTTAATGTAAAATGATCATGGACCACTACTTGACAAAAACGGTATGGTTGCAATGAATCATTTTTTTATCAGTTCATGTTCATTTCATTAACCAGACCCACATCATTCAAAAGCTTTTTCACAAGTAACAATTACTCTTTAATAAAGCCAGTTATATATCAATTGAATGAGACTGAGTATTATTTGCGTTTTAATATTCACTTTCAGATAAACGGTTATGTATTCTATAACCACTAGAGTTATTATCATCGATGTATCTAATTACGTCCTATATTTTAAAAACACCCACCCATGTTTCAAGCCAAACTAAATAGCCCCAAATACTCGTAGTAAACTAAACAGCTTCCTAACTAACGTATAATTCAATTACCAATGATACCCATAAAACTTATATAATTTCCTATAGTAGTACCAAATCTAAAGTATATTTTGATTAATTTTGTTAATACAAAAGTTGCTTTTACAGTTGATCTAACCAAAGTTATCCAAGAGTATATTTTATTATAGAAAGAAGTTGAGATTTTGCAATGAAATTCTTGTTTTCAGTGGCACGTAAATATACTAAGACGTTTCTATGGTTTGCTTCCTGTCTATTCACAGTATTCTGCCACGTAAACATTAAAATACCGTATGTAGTGAAAGTAGCGAATCCTTTTCATAATGACTACACCATAAGAACTTACTGACCAATATTTTAGACTACATTTTAGCAATTATTAAACTACAAAACTTTTAGTCTTACAGATTTTAGTTCAAAATAAAAAGGAAGAACAACTTTCGCCTGTTAAATATAATAAATTAAGTAGTTGGGATGCCTATAGTGTTTTGTGTAAACAAACTTATCCGGTATCTAGGGTAATGATATTGTGTGCAGCCATAAATTCCCGAATATCAGTATATGAGAATTATATGTTTACGTTGGAACTAAGTACTTGTTTTTGAATTACATTAGTTTGTAGTAGCCCTATCGCATCCGACTTCGGAAATACCTTTAGATTTCTACAGTTGTGTATTCCAATTTTTGTTTGTATTTCCTTCGATTTCTTGAAAACACGTTAACTGAAAGTTGTACTTTCGCGCCGAATTGAAGTCTGATTTGCTGCTGAAGTCAGCTTAAAGTGAATTCATTTGATAACTTGTGTGTTTAATCATCTAATGGTATGTTGAAGTTACCGACCTAATAAGATACGAGATCTGCTGAAAGCGTTTATTACTGGAGTCAGATCAATAACGGAAAGAAAACACTAAAAATTTATCATATACTGAAAGCACTACATACAACCGAAATTAACCAGTTCCCTTTTTGTACTTAGTACTCAAGTATCAAACCATCCCTTTCGGATGATTCCATCAGTGAGTTTTTTTCGTATTATCTTAGTATTCCTGTCGACCCCTGGCCACATGATTGGTTGGCCTTTTTCTTATAGGTTGATAAATATAATCCATAACAATACATCTGCTGATTGCAAATAGTTGATAACGGCCATTCACTTGAAATGTTACGAGAACAGGCTTTTCTGAAATTTGTGGACTAAATGAGCAGTTGACTTCTATGTGAAGTGGGTGCTGGTGTTGTTGTTTACAAGGACAATGAAAGTTCAGTTAAACCACTCAAATTAGAAAACATAACTATACTAACAACATCGTAGCTACTTTACCTTATCAGATTCCCCATAGAACACCATTTCCTAACTCAAACTGCTAAGAGTAACGTCCACTATTCGTACCTGAGGTGGACTCGATTTTCAAAGCATAGTGTCCATGACTACAGTTCGCAGGACATCTGGATCATACATACATAACCCAGTTCGCCTTCTGACAATCGATGACACAAAACTTTACCGTCAGCTTTTATTTCAGTACGAAAATTTGCGTTGGTAAGAGCCAATATATAGTATCTAAGTAGGATTTCAATGGGCAGTTGACCTACCTGTGGTAGTAACCTAAAGGGCTAACTCACATTTGACCATTTAAAATGTTCCCGTCTGGTAAGATTCATAGTTCGTCCGGTGCGTATATTTTCCACTAACACCATCCCATATGATAAAGAAGTGGAGACAGTAGAGTGATTATATAACGCCTTGTTAATCCCGACAAACAATCATTTACAGCAAAAATTCACTTGGTATTGTTTACTTTATTCTTCCCATTGATGTTTAGCACTGCAATTGATCAGTCTCTTATTGGCATATGTGCGTATTGCCTTAATTCACAGGCATTATAATCAAAGATGGGTAGTGGCTGGCAGTGGAGTCCGGGACGCGCGTCTCATCCTATTTATGACTTATCAGCTGGATGTACTTGCATCTCAGAGTTGATGTTCACTCTAGGACTTGAGCCCTGTACCATTCGCTTTAAACACCATCGCGTTTAAACTTCACTAAATTGCACAAGCAAGTGGCTATCAGGACTCTGTAGCTAAGTGGATAACGCGATAGCATTTACAGCGAGCTATACTGGGCTCAAGTCCCAGAGTGAACACCAACTCTGAGATGCAAGTACATCTAGCCGACGAGTCCCAAATAGGACGAAATGCGTGTCCTGGATTCCACTACCCACCTCTGTTTATAACCATTTGCAGTCCATTGTTGAAGTCTTCAGTGTGCATATAGAGAAACTGGGACCATGTACACAAAAGAAATTCGTTCAACCTCTTATCCTTCATGATCTCAACGTAGAATTCCTTCATCGCTTCATTTCTCCAGTACCCTTTTTTTCGTCCCGTGAAGCAGTTACCTGCCGAGGGCAATTGAAGATGGTTGTGCAATATCACGAACTAGAGTTAGACATGTAAACCATTAAATCATAGCTCAGTGCCCTCAAAGTTAAGCGTGAGTGCACCCCCCTTAGGTGTTACATCCTAAAATAAAATAGCTAATTAGTTCTTGGGTTGAAGTTGTTTAAGATCATTCCTTGGTGGAAAGTATATAATTCAACAATGTTCACAAGCCCCTTCATTATCTAACTGTTTATTGATTCACATATCTAATGAACTCTGATGAAATAAAGAAATTGTTAGAGCTTAGAAATCATTAGAACTGGTTACTTATATTTCATCATATTTCCAACTCAAGTACACTGCAGGTAGCAACGAGCATTTAGCTTATCGGGAGCTTCATCTCTGCACACTTCTGCGGCGGTTCAATACAACTTTTATTATAAACTGAAGGCAACTAGAGAACTAATAATATCACCTATGAGGAAAATGTGGTGCAATTTAAGGATAATTACTTATCAGTATCACTAGAATGTATTTGCACTAAATCGAGAGTTGAACAGACTTGAAAGTAACTACTACCTGATAGTTTAATAATCCAACAGTACTAGGTTCGTGAGACCAAAATCTTTAGTCTTATGATTAAGAAAACCAATCGCAAATATCTTGTCATTACTCTTTTGGCAGATTTCACGTTGAATAAGTTGGTGTTTAATATTACTCGGTACGCTGATAGATGGAGTGCTGATGCTTTGAGTCAACGAGTCGATACGTGTATATTTCCCGGCATATTTTACTATTTATCTATAATACAGAGTAAACTTAGAACAATTCCCTCCAATAACATCTCCAGTTATTGCATGAATCCTCGTTCTTTAAGTCACAATGAGCAAACAGATGTTAACACAATTATTTCTAAACTCGCTAAGTTTTATCATAAACTGACAACCACTCGGGTTCAATGAACTTATTTGGAATCGGCAAAATTGTCGTATACGAAAACCATTTTGATGTCATACATATGACGTACTGTATCATTGAGCTTTGCTTCAAGATGGCATCAATTTTAAACCATGGTTCGAACACACGTTGGTAGGTTTAACAATACTTTTTTGATGGTACCACCGAATGCAAACATTTCTTCTAGGATAAAAACGTTCAGTTGCGAAAAGTCACTGAATATCCACTATTCAGGCAAACTATGTGTAACAAATGTAAAGCTAAGCCCGTTGTACTAAAGCGTTTTAAACTTGATTTTCTACTACCTGCAAAATCTCTGGCTTCTACTACGCGTGACTGATCTCTTCAAGAAAGTCACAGCTAAAATTTACAAATTCCCTGACACCCAAATCCTCAGACTATTTGTTGTTAGGCCTGACTTCAGGTACAGGCTCTTACCGTCACTACATTACGACGTACATCAAGAATCCATAAAGTTCTGACTTGTCTCCCTATATTCCAACCTTCTCCTAGGTAATAACTTTCGAATAGCAACCCTCGATGAGATATCTGATTACTGAATATCGCTTAGGGCAATTAATTTTATAAATAAATAATACATTCTGGAAATAATTAAAGAACACAAACTGGTTTACATGCATGATCAGACTGATAAATATGCCAATATTACATGTAGAGAATAAATACAGAAGCGACCATTTAGTGAGTTACAACCTATTAAACATGTGAAGACAACTTTTTAATAAAGATGAACTGTTCAGTAAAACAAAAATAGGGTATGGACGGTGATCGTTTAACATATGCTTAATCAAAATAACGTGTAGTTTCTGAGCTAGTGTTCACTGGTTGGGGTGTTTGATCGTGATACTACTCACATACTCAGATCAAAAGTAATGGTTGTTATATCAGAACGAAAATTGAAGGAATGGTAATTTCCAGAGTTAGTTGTAGAGGTTAGTGGCTGACTTCTAGACTCGAGGGCAGGGCAGAGGAAAGCTAGGTAGTTGTGAACCAATCGGTTACTGGTGCTGATTGGGCGTGGAATTGATTAAACCAAGGAGTAAATGGTGGATGCGAAATAGCCCAAATTAGAATCAGAATCCCGACTAGTGCTTTGTCACGTAATTTTGTTCAGCTGTCACAAGGCAATAATAGCTTTCTCAGGCGAACGCTTCTCTTACTGATAGCCTAAGAGATTCATTCGTAAGATAGCGATATTTATAATACCTAGTAAGCAAGGTAGGTTTGTACGTCATCCCTCTATCTAAGACCCTGAATCCTACAGTGAGCAGTGGTTTATGGTCAGGGTTTTAGTGTGTCAGTGAGAATAAGCAGGCTTTCTTGTTTAGTTACTTGAGTACCGTAAGAAATGAGAGCAGTTTTATTAATATAGTCCGAGTATTGATTTGTTCACCTGTACTGTCCACCAATGTCTTTCGCCTAGCCAGTGACATTCCAAATGTGAGATAGCAGCTGAGTGTAACACTAAATGACCATCAACCCAAAACGCAGTTTTCCACGCTCACTCTCCTGATAGCCAGAATAAAGAACTGCTAAACAAGCGGATAGCTCCTAATTATACAGTCCGAATTGAAGGATCACTCATACAACTATATAAAGCAAAATCCTGGCCACAAATCAATATGGCCATAAGCGGGAGAGGACTGATTGATAAGGAAAGATAATACACAACAACTATTTTTGTGTCGAACAAAATACCTTAAACTTAATACTGCAAAGTGTTGCCATTCAATATTACTTCGAAATGCTTAGTGGTATAGACACTGCTGATGCGTCTTCCGTTCGCTAATGTATAACCAAGAGTCAATTAAGGTTTTTTTTAACAAAACGCTTCATTTAATTCTCAAAACAACTGGACCATTGTAACAAGAATTTAAAATAAGTCAATGGTGAGCTAGTTGACAAGCCAACAAACATATTTACACTCTTTAAGTATCACTCTAAATGTTCAATTCTACAGGAAATAAAGCTACTTACTACTCAAGGTTCATAAATAATTGATCCTAAATCAAAGTATTTCGAGAGGGAAACTACAGTTTATCCAGTTCTTATTATTACTAAAATAATTCACTTATACATATCTATCAGGCTTAAAGTTGTCATTCTAGATTATTCTCCATTATAAAATAAAATTAATCCATCGTCATAGTCCCTCTTAATTCGATGCCATGTATAATAATATTTTTGAATATAAACTCACTGCATGAATTATTCTTTCCCAATCCACCTGGTTTCATCAATACAATATTGAATGTATCTTTTATAAATCACCAATAGATTAGGTCACAATGGCTAGACACTAAATAATTTAGTATAAAGTTCATTACACTTACACTTTGAATAAATACAAATGGAATCTTTAAATTCTTCGTCTATCTATCCAAACAAAAACTCTTTCTCATCAAAATATCCTAATTAAATTTAGATATTTAATGATAATTTATAAGAATATAATAAATCCTAGACATAAGTTTATTGATTACATAATATAAACAAATCCAGGATATCTTCCCGTGCAAACCAACTATGCATATATATATATATATATACTACTAAATAATAATTCAGTAGTACCACTAACTCACAAGCAAAAAGTATGGCTTAAAGTCGAGTTCACAAACATATTTAGTCAATGATTGGTTTTCCACTTACAAGGGAAACATATTGTTTATATTCTTTGAAATATCAGTATGGTGGTTAAAAAAAATGAAGTGAATAACTCTCAGGTATATTGCTGATCATCAGTAATAACTTTTTCTCGAAACAATTAGCGACCTACTAGACAAATCAAAATGATCTAATATGAGTGAAACCATTTCCGTGGATTCTACAATATTATCAGACAGACCAAATGATATCTTAAAACAGTTTGGTAAATCCGAAACAAATGTGTGGGAAGTGATCATATATGCGATTTTATGCTAGAAAAAGGCCGTACAGTTAGAGGCCTTTGTAAGCAAACAAAATATTCACCCACCTAAGGGAACACACACATATCCTTGCCCGAACCAAAATGCAACCGATATCTCCCCGTGTGGTGTCAGCAAAATTACTATGCTAATGAGTAATACAGCTCGCCACACAGTCGTAGTCTTTTTTCTTTACAGATGTAAATAGTTAAGCCTCAGGACAGTAAAAGTTCAACACGCGAATCATGCCACCCTGATATGGTTTGCACGCTAGGATGGTCTAAATTTGCTGGGACTGTTGATCCATGGGTCTTAACATACCATCCAGGTCGGTTGGAAGACAGAAAGACTAAGCAAAAGCAACTTAAATCTCGACTGTACAGGAAAGTGAGAACAGTGAGGAGTTCCCCCCCAGCAACCAATATCGACATCCCTACCTTCCTAACGAAGGGAGGGGTTGAAAAAGTCCCTCCTAAGTGTACCACACCATATGTATCTCCAGTCCCAGTGGTTAGGCCTCAGGCGGATGAAGAGGACGCATCAGTAACTATTTACAAAACTGTAGGTATTAATACCAAAGTTGCAGTCGCATTTCCCTGTCGAAAAAGTCACTACTAATCCAACTTCTTCATTGGGTTCCTCAGGAAGAAGTATGCTTTTTTCAGTGTTTGCAACTGGAAAGTCACAACCAATATACACCTATAACAGCATGCAAAATCATTTTGTCCAAGAGTGTCATGTGACCTGATCAAGTGGAAAGATATATATCATTCCTGTGTCGTATGAAAATGATACATCCATGTACATGCTTAAATCCCAGGAACTAATTCAAATCGAAGAAAGATTTGACAAGTAAAAGCAGAAAGACCATATACTTGATTTTCAACCATTTTATCCATGAATAGTGTTTAATTAATTAATTTACTGTTTACGAAAAACTCAAAATGAATAACAGTGTCATAATAACAATGATACCAAATAATAATGTTATTAATTAATTAATAAATGAATAAATAAGTAAATTATTTAATTAGCAATAATGGTCAACTTTTTTTTATAAATGAAGGCAGGAAAAAAAAGCAATTCAAAATCAATAAAACCCATAGTGATCAAGACAATGAAATAATGAACAGATTAAATAGTTGATTATTAGATCAACTAAACAATGGAAGTAAAAAAGAGAGAAACAATATCTTCCGCCTATTGTATTATCACCATTTCAATTATCATAACTCCTCTTCAAAAATCAAGACCGTAACAAGTAATTTAACAAATAAATCATTTGAGAATAATTGAGCTAAATATGTGTATTTTTGTAATAATAATGATAGTAATAAAATCATTACTAAATTGAAGCGTAGTAAAAATTCACCGATGTTTACAATTTAAGATTTGCTAGATTAAAACAATAATAATGAAGAGGAATAGAAAGATCACAAGAAAAAGAAAATAGAAACCGATTAAATAACGATAATAATTATAATATCGAAGTTATTGTGAATAAAATAATGAAACACTTTTTCAGTATAAGTTAATATACTGATTACTAATCCATTTGAGTAGTATGTATGTGTTAACAGAAGCAGCGTACATGCGTAATGTATAATTATCATTGCACTGGTATCAGGAAGATGTAAGGAGTAGGGCTTTTAGGCACTACGTGGAATATTCATGTTTTAATGAATACATTTCAAAATTATTAAATAAGTCAGTATATAAACAGCAGATAATAATAATGGATAGTGTAAGCGGTACACTGGTAATAACAAAAAAATTATGAAATTAACATTAGTAGCCAATAGTAAATATTAGATAACACAATAAGAAATAACTTCCTTTAACAAAAAAAGTTATTGTAGAAAAAAACTGTTAGAAAAGGGAACAACCGAGACATAAGTAAAGCCAAACAACAACCGGTTTGGATGTTATTAATGACTTCAACTTCACCGTCTTGTACGTTGTGAATATACTACTTAATGTAATCGAATAGATCACTAACAGTAGTAATTGTAATAGTAGGCTAAACTTATGAATGCTTGAGAGAATTTTGACAGCAAAGCTGCCTTCCTGAATTGGCCATTGTCCCATATGTGTGTATATGAATGCTTATTTTATATTATGTATTTCTGAATAATTTCAGCCAACAGGATCACCTCACAGCACTATATAACTTACTTACTGTGAATACAAATAATTTTGACTGGATTGGAAGAAAATACAGCGTACAAAAAAGTGTTTATCAAAATGTTAAGCAATTTTGTTGAAATACCTATTATCCGTTATCACCGGAAACGTTCTATGTGGTCACCGACTTTGTTTCAATATACTAGAAAAAGAAAAAATTCAACGTACAACTAATACTACTAATGGAAAGTATCAGTAATATCAGGAATTGTATTAGTAATGAGAGTAATGTTATTAAGCAATTTTTTAAAAAAAATCATATTATTACTACTGTTGTGATAACAATAGTAATGTGCTAGAATGAGTAATAAATAGATGCAATGGCGCTTTAAAAAGAAGTGGAGAAGTGAAAATGTCTCGAAAAAAAAATTATAACGGAGGAAAAATTCGGATTCCCTGAACTATCATCCATCATCGACAACATTATGAATAAACCTATTGAGATAAAAATGATATTAAAAAATGTTGACAAAAACAATGTAAAATGTCAAGAATTTTACTTGTTTTTCCTAATTAAAAAAAACAATGAATGAATCCACGTTGAATTAACGAATTTTTCAGTGAAGTGTCCTATGAGAAGCATATGCACTTTCGATTGGAAAAAACATTACAGTTTAGAATTGTCTTCATTCCTCCTCAAATCCTGGTACTTTTAGAAGCATCAATACTGTAAACCAATAAATCGGTGACAAGTAACAAGAACGGATTATTGTCTTGTGGTTGTTTTATGTCTTACTTGACATTTGTGTATTGTTACTACTACTGTTACTAGGAGGATCATAACAGTTCGACTCCATTTTTATTTGATATTCCCTATTATTTTGAAATTGGTTAAGTGTTACATTAGTTGAAGATGTAGTCGTTAGTGGTGATAAAGGACTAGAACAATCCATTGAATTACTTTTATTCCCAGATGATTCATGATATTCCAAGCCCCATGTTTGTTGATTATTATTATTATTACCACCATTACTGTCATTATTCCCTGTACTATTTCCGACTGAGATTGATTTATTTGTCATGATTATTGTTGAATCGTTATCTAACAGATCTTGTCCACTTAATAGACGTGATCTATCTCTTGAGCCTAAAATCGATATAAGATTCGGTTGTGAATAATCTTTAAATGTAATAGCTTCACTTAAACTACGAGAGTTATTTTCCAATGAAGGAAATGACAATTCATAAGTGGAGCATGATGATGATGATGAACCAGAGGCTGGACCACGTACAGATACTTGTGAAGTACTTCTTGACATTGGAATTAACATAGAATCTGAGATATCATGATCTTCTTGATTAAGAGTTGACACTTTGTTAGATTCAGAATTTTGTGTAAAAATGCGACTTTCATTGTCTTTTACAGAATTATTTGAAGAGAAACCAAATAAAGATTTTGATCTATTTGGTGTTATATGGGAATGTAACAAATTAACTGGAGGAAGTAATGATGACGATTCATTAGAGATGAAATTTTCATCTGATACTTCATTTATAGTGTACGTTTTCCCAAGTGCTTTTGTCTTCCATTCATAATGTTGAAGTTCACAATCCATATTCTTGTCTGATGTTAATAAATCATTTAAATCATCTAAAGGCTCTTTGAAATTATTTAAACATACTGGTACTTCATTTAAACATGACAAATATGGTACAGCAACTCCAGGACAATGACGTTGTAATAATATAACACAATGTTTTGCTCGTGAACGCCAACTTTCTAATTCTTGCATTAATCTACTAGCTTCTAATTGTAAACATTCAACTTGTGATTGTAATTCTTGTGTTCGTTGAACTTTACGTTCACGACATTTTTGTGCAGATTTACGATTTCGTTCACGTCGTTTCATTCGACGATCTGCTTCATCTGGATCAACCTAGTTTAAATTGAAACATAAAAACAAGAAGGGATTTTTTAAAAGTAGTTCCTTTTTTAATTTGTTCTAGCTGCAGTGTAAACCATCAACGGTGAGATAGATGCATCTAGTTGACGAGTCCTAAATAGGATTAAAGTCGTGTTTTGAATCCCACTGCTAGCCATCATCTATCTAAATTGTGTCTTTTTTAGTACAATGAATTATTATCGAGAACTTGATTTAGAATCAAAAATGCTCCGGTACTATAGTTGGTTACGCTTCTACAACCAGATCTGAGTAGCCGAGTGACATTAAACATCTGGAATGAGTCTTGTTATCTCAGTGTGTCTGAGTGTCTACAAATGATAGTGTTCTCTATTGAGCTAAGATAGTCATGTATTGTGTACTGTGAGTGGTAATACTCATCAGAAAAGGTATTAACTTAATTGGAAATTATTATACAAACCCCTGACAACAGCTTATCCACTCCGCCTGGAGTCCCTCCAGGGGCTACTGCCGGTCCCAAGCCCGGATGAAGGAGGAGGGTTGGGCATGGGGTTAGCGATCCCATCCCGTAGAAAACTAACTCACTAAAAAAACGCTAACCAGAAAACTATTCAAACTTCCTGTCATAGTAGTTACTTTATGATTAACGACAGTGATCTAAAAAAACTTAACATTCAGAACTGACTGACAGTAGACTGAAATAGTTCATCTAACTAAACATTAAAACGACAAAATAATGGATGAAGAAGTTTTTCCACTAAACGATATTATAAGTTAATAATGAAGTGAACCAAAAATATGCAATACTAAGTATAAATTATAGTAACCATTGTAAAATCACACTTTATATATAATTTTCACATTCCAATTATTATTGTCTGTCTGTTAACCAAACACTAAGCTACCACCAACATGAAGCAATTTTACACTCTAAATAGAAAAAGTGGGATAAGGGAGAAATCGAACTATGACTCATTATTATAATTAAAAGAACTCTTTTGTAATCTGATTGGTTAATAATTTGACCTTAAAATGTATCGACCTGAAATTGGTAGAAATTTAGCGAAACAGTTTGATTTACCTACGCCTATATGTAGTAAGGCCAGACAAAAAAAAGTATATTAGATTTGGCTATCGTTATAAATCCGGAAAGATTTTTCCATGCATTGAATGCATATTGATATAATATGGTCACGGTCTGTTAGAAATAAGTGTAGGGGCAAGCATATTTTTCGATTAGATATATCCCTTAAGAATTTGTATGAATCACATATTGTATTTTTTATAGTGAGGTATCTTCGGGAAACGCCTAAGGAATAATTAGAGTACACAGATCTTGATGATGGATCATCAAATATTTCTGTCAAACCATAAAAATTATTATCCTAATTTCTAAGAATCCAAAGCTAGAAGAAATTCTGTAGTAATAATGACGGTAGATCACATAATCAATACTTACTTCGTCATAAGGCCAAAAAAACAAGATACCTATAGGGTAGCTTTATTATATTCAATCAACTATACCGATGAGCTTCCAGATAAAAAAAGCCATAGTTGGCATGTTCTGAAAGTATTCTATGTCATTTTGACAAAAAAACGTAATACCATTATTGATTTTAGAAATTCCGTACTTCATTTTACTATTTAAACTTCTTTTATGAGCTTCCACATTATTCTGACATCGCGAGATATTTATTATCTTGTCCTAATTAGACAGTAATGTGATGTAATAATACTCATATAATCACTTTATTAACAATCTGCAGTTCGGATCTCTAGGATTCTCATTGTTTGATTCTGGGCGAAGTTCGATTACTCATTAAACGGTGTGTATGCTATTTATACATTGGACAATCGAATATAAACGCCGTGGGTTGCTAACAATACAGAAAATTAACGGTGAAATCCAGGTTATTAAGTGTTTTTTTTTCCAATAACGAACCCAACTCTTTTTTATTTTTATTTTATATGAGAGAACACTAGGAACACATCAGTGACATTTAGGATTTAAATCTTGATTAAGTTAAAAAGTTTACTCATTTATGGCCATGATGATGTAAAGGGATGAAAAAACATGATGTTCTAAATTTAAAGATAATCCAATTAATTATCTTTTTTAAATAAACTTCATTCTAGCTTACTAGTTCGCCTTTCAGATTTCTTCGCCCAGTAGCTAATGTAGGTGCAGGTTTTCTTGTTCTTCCTGGAGTTTGTGGACAGCCGCTGCTACATGTCGGCGTAGGTGATGCTTCACCATCATCTGATGAACAACCAAATTTATTGCCTGAAAAACCTATAGTTGAAGAATCAGGAGTCATCGTAATTGTACTTGTCACCGGACTTGCTGTTGAAACAACCAGTAACCGTGTTGGTGTGGAGGCACTACGTGAAGAACGATTAGAAGCTTGGGGTGGATTCTTTACATCACAATTGATTCTTGAGTGAAGTATATTTTGTCCACAAGTCAAATTAGATGGGCTATGTGTTCTATTCTCATAAATATTGTCGCCAATATTGCAATATCCACTAGCTTGAAATGCATGATGTTGTGTATGGCTACCTGCAGTTATATGAGATCCCGTTTGATGCCCTGAATGATCGTCATGTCTTGGTGTTGGACAAGTTGTTGGACAACGATTCATATTTGAGAAAACCGTTGTATTCCCAGTAGGTGATAATACTGGAAATCCATTTACACATGACGACAATTGTTGAGTATCATCAATCAGATGAGACGAAATCCTGATCTAGAGTTGATTTTCAAATCATCTGTAAGAGAACTAGTATTCCAATGTCCGAATTCACTTTCTGGCATATTTGAATAATTCATGTATTCATTATTATTATCATTATTACTACTATCATTATAGGCTATAGAATCAGACAACTGATCATATTGAGAATTCAGTAAATTAGTACGTTGATAAATGTAATTATTTCTTGTACCATTATGATAATTATTCGTAACACTAACAGCAGTACTAGTGATTGTAGTAGTAGGTGTTGTTGTATTAATGTATGGTTGTTTAATCTCCATAGTTTGATCACAATGATTCAAATTCACAGCCTCTGAATTATTTGAATAGTTTATACTATTTGATGTACAGTATGAATTGTTAGCACGATTAATACCATTACTATTATTATTGTTATTATTATTTATGTGTGTGTTTAACACAGATGGTCGTGAATAATCTGATTTCGATTGCAACAATAAATGCGGTGCGGGTAACGATGTATTTTGACGACGTTGTTCAGATGAGTTTTCATTTGAAAAAGGAGATGGGCTTGGTGTAGCCATGTGATTCATTGGATATAAAGTATTGTCATGATGATGAAGATTACTGTGAACACCATGATGATGTATATTAAAGTTTTCAATCAGTGTAGTCGATATATTCCCACTATGACGTTCATTTGCTAACTTATTTGAACAAGCAGATATTGTCGACATTGGTAAAACAAAAAAATTGTAGAAACTAGTTATATTCTTGTATCTTATTGCCCCCAAATTTGCAGTCGGTCAGTCATGAAGCTGAAAGTGAAAGAATAAACAACATTTTGATATTTTTCCTCATTTTCCTAGGCATTTAGCGAATTTCAATAAAATAGGTTGAATATTAAACATTACTGTAAATTATAAGCAAAGATGGATAGTGGCTAGCAGTGGAATCCAGTACACGCGTTCCGTTCTATTTGGGACGCGTCAGCTGGATGTAACTGCATTTCAGAGTTTATGTTCATTCTGGGACTTAACTACTGAGTCCTGATAGCCACCTGCTTATGCAATGGGGTGAAGTTTAAATCCACTTTGTATTATTTGCTTGTATCTTCCCATTGTTATTTAGAGGACGAAACGCGCGTCCTGGATTCCACTAATAGGCACTATTCATCATCCCTTATAAAGCTTGTGACTTAAGGCAATACGCACAGGATGCATGTGCGCCAACAAGAGACTGATCAATAGCAATCCTAAACATCGATAAGAAGATTTAAGGAAACACTACCAAGTGGATTATTGTAAATTGTTTTACTTAAATTGTTATCAGTAACATCAGCATTACAAACATAAAATTAAGAATGTTTGAAAGATTAGTTATCAAAGTTTAATATTTGAAATCATATAAAAATTTCCAAACTACGAATAAGGCTTAATACATTTAACTTCTCAGGTAACGTTCATTAAGATAGCAGATAATTATATAATATCTGAAACCATGAGGATTGATGAAGTCTAGTTTCCACTGAGAATATCAAACTTAGTGATATATGTAAGTACTGACAAATAACAAAAAGGATGGAATGTATCTACTGAATATTACGGCTAATTATCCTTTGTTGAATAGAATACTCACAGAATACTCAAACAATACTCTAGCTTGAAACTACTAGTAGGTATGTATGGTCTGCAAAAGAACATACCATCAAACACACTAGTCAATAGTATATCCTAGTTTAAAATAAATTTATCGAAGAATTCAATGTGAAGAAGATCCATATCATGAATTTCAGTGAATTCGAAAATTCACATTTCTTTATATATTATGAAAATAATATTTTAAGACAATAAAATAAAAGCGTTCGAAAGAAAACGCGATGAGATCATGGTTTATGGACGACCTTTGAGGAATGCTAAAATGGCCATAAGGAAGTTCAAACAATTATAAGTCCCAAGGAAGGGTTAGAAATGAATGTGAGGAAACAGGATCAGGAATTATAGTTAGAAATCAGTGTGTTCATCATGAACCAACGCTAACTATAATGACAAAATTCTATTTAGCTATATGGATGAATGAACTTCACGAGAAAATGGAAATGTCTCTGTATTAAATCTGATTGATTCGTCCATAAATCATAGTGCCGTTGAAAACGCCAGTCACTGATTTATGAAATGTCATTTTGCTTTTCCTTACATTTACTCACACAAATCCATTCATACCTATCTAATTATTGATATTTTGGATGTAAGTGAAGAGACTTGGAAGAGTATTTACTGCAACAAACTATGGGAACAGATGTGTGTCTTATTTCTATCACTGCGAAGCATGGAATATGTAGATGAGAAAAGTTCCAGTATTTTTACTAAAATGGCTGATTACGCAGGGACGGATAGTTCGAGTGAACTATGAATGATCTATTAATTAGTAAAACTCTCAATTGGAGAAAAGAATTCGTGTATGTGCTATTCATTTTTTGAGTTATCTTTGATTACTGGGCCCAGTAACACATCAACAAGTGAACAGTTCTTACTTTATTATTTGAAGTAGATTACAGTGTAAATAACAGACACATTTTTTTCGCTTATCAAACGACCAAAATAAAATCCTGCTTCCTATCCAATATGTCTATTTCTCTACATATCTCGCATTCTTCTAGCTTAAATATGCTCTCTAACAAATAATCACAATGACCTTCTAATTTGTTCTAACTAAACGACCTCGTCTGGCTGCTTTCGTGGTTGACATATCAGTGACCTTGACACGAATGATGGACTCTGCCTAAAATTAACGGTAAACAGTATGGTATCTCATGCGACCAAGGCACACACACACACACACGTTTATAGTCTTAGTTAGACCTATGTTTCAAAAAGCTACCTAACTTGATCAACATCTTTTATTTTAGACTAAACTATCTATTAGAAAGGCGGGGAGAACTAAAGAAATAAACTTCCTATCCCCTTGTTAATGTTCTATCCACTTTATTTTTAGTCAATAAAAAATACACTTGAAATGCTCATTATCAACATATTTCTTCAATTAATGAAAATAAGTTTCACTAAATTGTAAACACAAACTTAGAGGGGAATATATAAAGATGATGTAAACATTTCCCTCTTTCTTCCAAACGAATTCCTTATTTGTAATTATTAAAAAAGAAAAGGATACAGAGGTCAAGTGTTGTAACTTAAGTACGAATTGGTAGATGAATAGCTTATTCCCAACTGGTCAAAGTTGATGTAGATTACTTTACGAAGTAATAAGTAAACGACTTAGATTCCTGTAATTGATTGAATAAATTTGCCTAATCATGGAAACGGCAATATCTGATGGATGAGTCATATCCCTATCTAATGATACACTAAACTTACCAATACTCTATCATTATATGATTACGTTGATGAAGTGAATTTGTATTAATGTGTACATAAGCCTAATGGAGGTTGATGGGTTATCTGTTTTGATTGCTTTACTTAAAAGTACTTTTTAAGAGCCACATAATAGACTTTGACACCTTTTGTGGGAAGAAAATGATACACAGAAGGTTTTTATTGTTAAGGATGTATATTTTTAGTGTGTAGTTCAGTATGAATTGCGACATTTTCAACATATCTCCGTCTGAATTTTAATAGCCAATCTGAATAAGAAATAAACTAGCTAAAAGAATGTCAACTAGTAAAATCCAAAAAATTGGTACGACTAAGTAATCATGTTGTAATGAAGGTCAATTTTTGCAGGAATTTATAACTAGATTAGTATAAACGTTAACAGCCCTTCTTTTACGTAAATTATTTACCAAATATGGGCATATGTAGCTAGTTTTGACCAATAGTGTTCATATGTGACTCCAAAATTTCGACTGGCAATTTGGTCCTAGCTTTTTCAAGGAAATAAACTGGGGTTAAATTGCCGAGGGAAACGTTGAATTTACTTCAGATTCAATTGCTGGGATTTTATAATATATTCTTTCTCTTTAATGTTGTACATTAACTCAGCGCCCAAATACTGTGAATCTATTCATTCAAATCTAGACGAAAGTTCTTACAAAGTTTTAATGATAGTTTACAGAAAGACAATGGATCAAATGTTATTACAAGTGTGATGATCACTTGAGCTACATATTTCTGCGAAAATCACTAAACCTGAGATAAGTAATAAGGTTTTTAGCAATCCCAAAAGAACGAATAAACTATAAACTGATGATCGTTTTGGGGTAAATTTACGCACTTTTAATTAATTTAACTCAGATGATTACTAAGAAAAAAAAAGGACCAACATTTAAAGATTCTTGAAATGAATTTGGAAAGGAATTATTATGGGGCCAGAGAAATGTCAGTGAGCCCTAGCCAAACTATCTACCAGGTTGAACCGTTTCTATGTTAGATGGTAGATCACTGAATAGTTTACTGAGCCTCTTCAAAGTCAAGGATAGCCAACGCGAATTAATTAATTAATTACACACCATAGATAGACCTATGCAGCAGCAGTTGAACTCTGAACTTCTCTAATCTGTTCTTACTAATATATGTTGTTGTTTCACCGATTCACATGGTTATCACAACAGGATAAGCCAGGTTACGTACCAACTGCGAGGTGTGTCTTCGTTGTAAGCTAGGTTACACCATTTAAGTAGACTAAAATCATCGACATAGACAGACCATCTGAATTGGCGGTCGACAACAGGAATAAATTATTCTTATTTTGAGCACTAGTAATTACTTTTTTTTAATAAGTTGCAGTCTAGAAATTGTTCATGAGGACATTTAAATAAATCGAGTAACTACGTATTACAGTTAGGAGTGCATCAGCCCTACAACATGAGGTTAAAAAGTTTGACTATTCGCTAATGTAATAATTAAATGAAAAATGAGGAAATAATTAGTCATCTATGTGAAATTAAAATAATTGAAAGATTGACCTATAGGTTAATGTACCTAAGTCATAGATTTCGAGTGGTTATTCATACTACATTGATATCTAAACCAAAATAAGCGAACTTAAAGCTTTGGCATGATGTGATCTACAGTTGAGTGCGCTTTGAACAAATGAAATACAATGATTTAGTGATTAAAGCAATCGGCTTTCAAACAGTCAGTTGTAGGTTCGTTTAATAGTTTATCAATTATGATTTCGGCAACTGGATAGGTATCACTAACACTCAAACAAACAGTATGTCTCAAAGTTAATAATTGGACTTGATAAATCTACTAAATAAAGTTTGCTTTGCGAAATTATATATACAACCATTAGTTAACGAAAACTGTATGGTAATTTACAAGAATTATTTATGCTAAATAGTCACGTTATGTTATAAATGTTACACGGAAGCATAATTCTCATAGTAACTCCCTCATTTGTTTTCAGAATTTTAACAGCTGGGAAACCTATGTTCTAGCCCAACTGTATCTGTATAGAGTTGTTTGTTGTCTTTAGTTCTTCCCTAGCTACTCATTACTTTGTTCCAGGTATCTGACTTCATTAGTTTAGATGAATCGTCTCACACTTATTCTGTCATTCAGAATAAATTCGAACGAAAAGTTTTGTCATATTAAAGATTTCCATAAATCATAATTTAAAAAGTATCTGAGACTGTAAAAAAAAAGACAATTCAGTTAAACAGACCGTTTAATTTAAAGCAAAATAGCACATCAAATAGTACTCAGTAAGGAGAATAGAGTTGTGTCTCAATCAACTTAAGAACCTAATTTGCAACTTCTATAAATAAACTCCCTCT